CCTCCCACCAGGGGGCCGACTTCCCATCCCGGAGCAGCTCGTGGATCGGTACCGAGGGCCGGCCACCGGCCCCGAGAGGTCGGCACGATAGCCGAACAAGATCCTGTCGCGATTCTTGTCGCGACGCGAGGGGTTGTCGTTTGCGGGCCACAAGACTCGAAGACGAACAAATTACATAAACATAAACTTTCAGCGCTTCGCGCGGAGTTCCTGGATCCGCGCTGGGCCCCCCCGCGGCGCCTCTGGCGCCGCTCTTGGCACGCTCCGCGCGCCAGGGAGGGGGGCTCAGCGCGGATCCAGGAAATCCGCGCGGAGCGCCACAAGTGTATGTGCTTATGTCGTGTTTTTTTTTTTTAAAGTCAGGCCCCCGGCAGCCGGTCGGGACGATCCTGGCACCCAAAGGCGCTCTCTTCGAGGCGCAGCTGCGGGAACGCATCTCGAGCGTGGAAAATCTGGTGGAACTGATGAGAAAACGCCCAAAAACCTCAGGGGGAAAAACGAGAGGGGGGTTGGGATCCCCAACAGGTGGACGGTGCTGCGGGACCACGACGCCCTCCCCGGCCAGAACGTGGGGCGCCCCGCCGCCATCTCTGGCCTGGCCCGCGCCAAGGAGCTGTGCGAGCGGAGGGGCCTCTCGGGCATTGTCATGGGCTCCGGGGCGCTCTAGACATGGAGGGACAAGGAGCGGCATACCGCCAGTTCGCTGCAACGAGTCCAGACACCCTCGCGTCGCGTTTTCAATATGCTCAGCCCCACGAGGGCGGGGAGGCGGAGGAGCGGGGATCATGTAGCAGGAGGAGGAAGAGGAGGAGCGGGGAGGAGGAGGAGGAGGAGGAGGAGGAGGAGGAGGAGGAGGAGGAGGAGGAGGAGGAGGAGGGGGAGGGGGAGGGGAGGAGGGGAGGAGGAGGGAAGGAGAGAGGAGGAGGAGGAGGAGGAGGAGGAGGAGGAGGAGGAGGAGGAGGAGGAGCCCCCGTCGCATCGGGAAAAAGCGCGACGAAGGTTTTGTTCACCGTCGTCGGCCACGGGGGGTCCCTCGCTAGGCCTCGGGCCGTCAAGCAAAATTGCTCGGGAGGAAGGGGCGGTCCCCCAAGGAAGGAGGCCCGACTTCTCGGGGTCCTCGCTTCAGGATGGAAAGAACAGCGGAGGAAGAGGAGAAGGAGGAGGAGGAGGAAGAGGAAGAGGAGGAGGAAGAGGAAGAGGAGGAGGAAGAGGAAGAGGAAGAGGAAGAGGAAAAGGAGGAGGAGGAGGAGGAGGAAGAGGAAGAGGTGGAGGAAGAGGAAGAGGAAGAGGAGGAGGAGGAGGAGGAGGAGGAGGAGGCGTCGGGGGCTTGGGATCAGGACCACTTTGGGTTCAGGAGGGGCTATTTTTCTTTCGGGCTGTACCTTAGATTCTAATCCAGGTCGGGGGGCCTATTCGTGTCCGATGTTCGCGGTTGCCAGGGAAGGCCATTGGAGTCTTATCCAGCGCTCTTCGAGGTCGCACGAGGGCTGCAGACACAAGCATACACAAATGTTCACAGGTTCGCGCGGCTTTCTGGGATCGGCGCTTGACCCCCCTCCGTGGCGCGCGGGGCGCGCCAGGGGCGGCGTCGGAGGCGCCGCCAGGGGGTCCAGCGCCGATCCAAGAAGTCCGCGCGGATCTCCGAAAGCTCATGCTTCCAGATCACCTGCCAGGGGCTCTAAGCCTATCGCGCATCGCGCATCGGGGCCGTGTTCGGAGAGGCGCCCGTCTCCAGGGTGGCCTCGCGACGCGGGCGCGCGAAGCTGACCGTGCGATCACCGTGCATCGCCAGGCGCGAGGCGCGAAAAGCTTGGCGACCAGGATGCGTATCCCGTTTGGCGGCGGCGAGCGAAGGGGGGGAAGTGAGAAGGAGAAGGCCTTCTCAGAAGGCGGCGGGACTTCTCGAAAGCCCTGGCGCCCTCTGAGAAATTTGCTGCGTCTTCGGGGAAAGCCTAGAACACTTTCCAGCAGGCCAGGGTACCTCCGGGCCCCCGCCCCTTCTCCTCCCTCCCCCCCGCGCGCGGGTCTACAGTCAGGAGGCGAACAAAACACACACAGACACAAATAATCGCCGATTCGGAAAATATGGGGAATATGGGAAGTGGAGGGGAAGACGAGCGTCCAGAACATGTGGAAACATGTATTGGGGATCCTGGATTTTGTGTCTATCTAGCTTAGCGCCCCTGGACCCCAGTCATACAGTAGGCACACGAAGTAAGAAACTGGACTGCCCACGGATGCGCCACGATTCTTCCCTGTCTCCCAGAGGGCCCCGCCAGGCCCTGGGGAGCCTCATCCACAGCTCAGGGTCGACGAGCTGTGTGTTCCTAGGTTATTTAGCGCGGCAGGGTTAACGATCGAGTGGGCTTCCCGTGTGCCGCTTCCTCTTCTCGGAGACAGAAACAACGCCAGAAACATAAACTTCTGGCGCTCGGCGCGGATTTCTTGGATCCGCGCTTGGGCCCTCTGGCGGCGCCTCCGGCGCCGCACCCGGCGCGCTCCGCGCGACAGATAGGGGGGCTTTGGATCCCCTGCGAAGCAAGGAAGCTGATGAGGTCCTGCGGACTGTGCTTGTTGGGATCCTTGCCTAGGTCCTGAACTATAGCTGGGGACGGTCAGCTTGCCGGTAGGAGGTCCATTGGTCGGCCAGGCAGTCTTTCCTGTTGCCGGGTGTGCGCCCTGTCCGCCTGGTGAGGCAGGCTCCAGCGGATCCGAGAAGCCCGCGCGCAGCGCCAACAGTTTGTGCTCGTGCGTGTCGTTTTTCTGTCCTCGACCCTCGTCCTGCGATCTGCGGCCAGAGGGCCCCGCCGCGCGGCTGCGGGCCGCGGCGGAGAGGTCGGCGGGCTCGCACCTGCTCCTGTGCCCGCCCAGCGCCGCGGCGCCGCCGGAGTGCGAGAGGCGCGCGGACGCGCGGGCGGAGCGAGAACCGAAGAGGAAACAGCGATCGGTTTCTTATGCTCTGTTTTGCCGATCGGCGCGCGCCCTCGCAGCCCCCCCCCAATTTGGAGCAGATCTTGGCGGTTTCTGGCGCCGGCTTCGAGCAGGTGGAGCCCCTCCCCCACGTAGGACGCATGCACGGCTGCAAACAGTCGCACGGAGCAGAGGTCCAGAGCCAGACCCCCCCCCTCCCCCCCCCGCCCCCCCTCCCCCCTTCCGCCCCATGTCGAGACGCCGAACAAGAACACGGTCGCCCTCACTCCGACGACACGTGTTCTTCAGGTCCTGCGTCTTTCCCAGATCCCAGGGGGCCGGCTGCCGGGCCCCAGGATCCGCAGCAGAAAAGGATTTTGATGAGCCTGTTTTCCACCACCACCACCATAAGTTGGAGGGGGGAAGGAGGAGGAGGAGGAGGAGGAGGAGGACGAGGACGAGGAGGAGGAGGAGGAGGAGGAGGAGGAGGAGGAGGAGCAGGAGGACCCCGCCCTCCAACTTATGGTGGTGGTGGTGGAAAACACGCCCATCAGATCTGGAGCGGGAGTATGTCCCAGGGAAGGCTCCCCGCGTGGTGAGCAGATCAAGACGGGAGGCTTCTTGGTTGCTTGTGGCCTCCGGGTGGCCTTTTTGCGAGGTCCTGGGGCCGTCAGAAAACGACTCGGGATGAAGAACGGGTTCACGGGAAGGGGTGCAGACCTCGGGGGGCTCAACGTTGTGAGAAGATCAGCTCGCCGGATGTCTGGGTACGGCAGATGTCGTGCCGACGCGGCAGCGACCCCGCCGCGGACGTGCAGGGTAGAGCGCCACTGGTGGCCCAGAGTCGGCATGGATCGATCTGGCGATCCATACATCCGCTGGTCGTCCAGGGTTGAGTGATCCACGTGGTGTCAGAAACCAGCGCCGGGGTCGTCGCGACACGTACACCTGCCATAAACATGAACTTTTCGGAGCTCCGCGCGGACGTTTTGCACCTGCGCTGGGCCCCCCCCTGGCGGCGCCTCCGACGCCGCCCTCTGACGCGCCCCGCGCGCCAGGGAGGGGGTTCTCCAGCGCCGACGTGCGTGCGGACCTGCAGAAGCTCTGTGTCTGCGAGGGCGACGAGAGTTGTATCATGGGCTTGTTGTCCACCACCACCAGAAGTTGGAGGGGGGAAGGAGGTGGAGGATGATGATGATGATGATGATGAGGAGGAGGAGGAGGAGGAGGAGGAGGAGGACCCCCTCCCCCTCCTGCTTATGGTTGTGGCGGTGGAAAACAAACCCACCACTGTGCACATCCGCCGCGCCTGGCCAAAAGCCCGTCCTTGCACCAGAGAGCGGCGTACGCACCCCCCCCATTGGCTGGCCGGGGAGCACGTACGTTGGAGGGCCAGGCCTGCCTGCTTCTAGAAGGTCGTCGTTTTCTTATTCGTTGTTTTGCCGATCGGCGCGGGCCCTCGCCCCCCCCTCCCCCCCCCCAAAGGAGTAGATCTTGGCTGTTTTTGGCGCCTGTTTCGAGCAGGCGGGTGTCCCTCCCCCATGATGGACGCACTGCTGCAGACAGCCGCACTGAGCAGAGGTCCGAAGCCAGATTCCCCCCCCCCTTCCCACCCTCTCCGCCCACTGTCGAAACTCCGAATAAGAAAAAGGTCGCAAGACCAACATCTCGGAGCCGATGCAAAATACCGCTCTCACGTCCTAGCCCAAAGCGTCGATGGACACATTGGGTGCCGCGACGTCCCTGGGCGCCTTCGGGGTGGATGCGTCTGTGGACAACGCGGCCGCTTCGTTCGGCGCGGTGCAAGGTCGGAGACAGGGTAGCTCCGTGTGCGGTATGTTATTGTTCTCGAGCAGGTCCCACATGATACTCCAACATGTACACCGCTGCTGGGCTCATGATGGGCTTTGCCAGTGACGGTGGGCATGTATACATGTGTATAGGTCTCGGTGCCCGATCTCTGCCATATCCTGTATTCGTTTTGTCCCTGTGAAGCTTTTTCCTCTTCTAGAGACGTCGCGAGCAGACTGCGGGTCGCCATCCTTGCGACCCAGGACGAGTTCGACGAGACGTCCTTCTTCGACGTCGGGATGGTGTCGGCCACGGGGAACGGCCGCAGATACGCGGCGCAGGCACTGGTCCGAGACGTCCTTGCCTCCGAGGGCCTGCTCCTCGTCGCGCTTCTGATCCTGGACTGGAAGAACAGCGAGGAGCAGCAGGAGAGCCGCTGGCCCGTGCCCGTGGAGGGGCCGCAGAGGGTCCGCGTGGCAGTGCGCGGCCTGCCTGCGCCAGTGGACGCCTGGCGCGGCAGCTACGGCCAGCTGCTGGGGGCGGCCGCCGGCGAGCTCGCCGTGGACGTCGCGGTCTCGATCCAGGCGCGGAATGCCTCCCTGGAGCTGCTGCGCTCGGCGGTCGCGGCGCGCTGCTACGTCGCCATGGGCCACGACTACAACCTGCCGTACGGCCCGTGGGGCATGGCGGCCGAGGAGGAGGTCACCCTGCGGAGCCGGCAGCTCCTGGAGCACGCGGGCACGGTCATGCTGTGCACGTCGCGGCACCTGACGGACTACGTGCACCGCTTCTCCGAGGGCAAGGTCCGGAGCCGGCTGTGCTACTGCGCAGACTACGGCTACTTCGACCCATGGAAGAAGACAACACTGCATACATATTAATTTTCGGGGCTCTGCGCGGATTTCTTGGATCGGCGCTGGGCCCCCCCTGGCGGCGCTCCGGCGCAGCCCCTGGCGCGCCCCGCGCGCAAGGGAGGGGGGTCCAGCGCCGATCCAAGACATTCGCGCGGACCTCCGAAAGTTTCTGTGGATGCCGTTTTCTTTTGCTCGTGCCCATGCGCCCCAGACGAGTTCCCCCCCGCCCTGTGCCCTGACGGCGACTGCGTCACCCTCATCAGCCCGTGCCCGTCCAAGGGGCTGCCGGTGCTGCTTCGACTGGCCCTGACGCTCCCCACGGTGCGCTTCCTCTGCGTCAGCACCGCGTGGACGAAGACGTTGCACGAGGTGCCCGGACCTCCGGCCTCCCAGGCCCCTTTGCACCCCACCGGGCCCCACCAGGCCACAGGCCACGCCGGGCCCCGGTTTCGGCCCACCAGTTCGGTTCGAATCGATTGACCGGTCCGGTGCCGCCCAGTTCGGCGATAGGGCTTCGGTTCGGCTGCTTCGGCTGCAGGAGCCGCACGTTCATGGCGACCAGTTGGGCGACGCAATAAAAACGGGGTCGTCTGCGCCGAGATTGGCGCGTAAGCCGCCCGCGAAAGGTTGCGCGTAAGCGCCCCCGTCCCCAATGTAGCGTGCCGCGTGGTCATCTCGCGGAAGACCCGTTTTTGATCGTCGCCCAATTGGGTTCAGAGCCGCTGTGCCGACGTTGTGATTTTTTGTAACGTGGACCCCCAGAGGTCTGGGCCCATTCCCGTGGGGCTGGCCGTTCATCCCGAGTCGCTGTTTGACGGCCCTGGGGGCCCGGTGAGGGCCCCCAGAGACGGGAAGCGGCCAACAAAAACCTTGTCGTCGCCTCGTGTTCACGACCGAGGGTGTCTGGGAGGTGCAGCTGTGGGCCCACCCGAACGTTGAGGTCGTCCAGGGCACGGACGACATCGGTTCGATCTACAGGAGGAACTCGTGGGCGGGGAACATGTCTGGGTCCCTGGGCCGCGACCCTGTGGACACGGGGCGTTTGTGTTCGCGGATGCATCGCGCGGAGCGTATCCATGCGATTGCCGATCTTCGGGATCGCGCCCAAGAATCCAGACCGCGAGGGCGTGGATATGGACACGCTCGCCGCTTGTCCAAGGGACGTGGTGGAGGACGCGGAGGAGGAGGAGGAAGAGGAGGAGGAAGAGGAGGAGGAGGAGGAGGGCATGAAGAGAAGGAGGATGAGGAGGAGGTTGCGCCACGTGTTGTAAGAGCGGGAGGTGGTGCGCCAAGGACCCAAGAACGCGAGGAGGAGGAGGAGGAGGAGGAGGAGGAAGACAGGCCGAAATTCAGAAAAATTAAGATTTGAAAGGTTCAACTCGGTGGAGGTCTGAGTCACCAGCCTCCTCGTCGTCTTCCTGCACCCCCTCCCGCTCCTCCCCCAGATTAGGGGGCGCAGGAGGGGGAGTGGGAGGCGGAGGATCGACATAAGAAGGAGAAGGAGGGGGAAGGAGATGGGGAGGGTGAGGAGGAGGGGAAGGAGACGGGGGAAGGGAAGGGTGAGGATAAGGTTGAGGAAGAGGTGGAGGAGGAGGAGGAGGAGGAGGAGGAGGAAGGAGGTAGGAGTTGGAGTAGGAGGAGGAGGAAGAGGAGGAGGAGGAGGAGGAGGTGGGATCAGTATAAACCCAAGACGCACTGCGGAAAGTGCCCATTGGAAGAGTATTGTATGATCATTTTCAAACGTGCCAGATAACAATTCCGGGGACTTCAGAGAGCGAGTCAGCGTGATTGTTGCGTGTTAGCAAGTCTAAAGCGGGCGAAAACATTAGATTTGGGACTTCGGCACCGCGAGTCAAAGTCATTGTTGGCCATGACAGTTCGACATCGTGCCAGAACGCCATTCCTGGGACTTCAACCATAAGCCGGCATCGAACGAGAGAGCCAC